GACTGCTTTCTGTGTGTTAGTTCGTTGTCCTTCCCTCGCACCTCCAAAATGAGTTTAACACACACGCAGGAATACAGACATCCACACGAGTAGATGGACAGATAGGGATACACCTACACGGATGGGTATTGGGCATGTCGATAGGAATGGAGATGGGTGTATATGGATGGGGAGACGGATGGAGAGACGTGAATGCCATCTTCAGCTATCCTTCACGGGTGGCTGCAAATGAATGTCTGGAAAGTCCACGTCACAAACGTTGTCACGTCAACTTTCATGCGCAGCCTCGCCGGGCACTGCTAAGGTAGCGAGAAACTCGGCCCCGGGAGGTTCCGTCCGCTCGCGAGAAGCCAGAATCGTGCTCTTTATAGTGGTAGGAACCACCTGGTTACACCAGCCCACAGGGGATTATTGTGTCCGTCCGTCGTGCATAAAAAATGGGAGTGGTGGGGCTGGGTGGAGAGGGGAGGGTGGGGAGGGGCTGGGTGGGGAGGGTGGGGAGGGGCTGGGTGGGGAGGGTGGGGCTGGGTGGGGGGTGGGAGGGGTGGGGCTGGGTGGGGAGGGGCTGGTCACCCCGTGGTGCCCTTATAAAACTCAACGTTTAACCTACTCACGCCGGCTTGTGGTGACAGAGTGGGGACCGTCAGCTCGCTTGCACTTGGGACACCGTCATTTGGGCGGCTCAAAAACCCAGAGTTGGAGCCCAGGCCCTGGGCAGTGCCGTCCCGGTGCCTCTGTCCGTGCCGAGCCACTTTGTTGGCGACCTCGCCTCTCTTAGCCTCCTCGTTCCACTGGCAACATCCAAGCCAACATGGGTCCCTCACGGTGCGTTTTTTTTTGTTGTTGTTAATTTCCCACCGGCTATTTTGCCGAGCCGAGCCGAGCCGGAACCGAACCCACGATACGCTGGCCTCACGACGAGACGTCTGAGAGTGACTCGGGGCCAAGCAGGGCCAGGAGCAAGGTTACACATTCATCCTGCGGAGGGAGCTGGTAGGAACACGTTGGGTTGCTCGGTCAATGGCCAGGGTCAACGGCGGCGTGGTGTATTCCGCAAATATGCCCGACTGTGAGGGCGGGCACAAGCCGGCGTGAGTAGGTTAAACGTTGAGTTTTATAAGGGCACCACGGGGTGACCAGCTCCTCCCCACCCAGCCCCACCCCTCCCACCCCCCACCCAGTCACACCCTCCCTACCCAGCCCCTCCCCACCCTCCCCACCCAGCCCCTCCCCACCCTCCCCTCCCCACCCAGCCCCTCCCTGCACGACGGACGGACACAATAATCCTCTGTGGGCTGGTGGAACCAGTGGGTTCTAACCAGTATTATTTTAACATGGAACCTCGGTATGGCTCCAGCACGGCTCGGTTGTCCAGTGGAAAAATATGTATGTGTGCCTGTGTCTCTTGTGTAGTTAGTGGGGAGCGGTGGTACAACGGTTAGGGCGCTGCGCCACAAACTCGAAGACCCGAGTTTTGACACCCTGCTCACTGCCAACACGGGTGACGATTATCTGACCTGTCTCCTGAGCCTCCCCCAGGTCGACTCAGCCTCGAATGAGAAAACATCGCCACTGGCGAGACAAAGTGTATTGGTTTAGCCATGTTTGTTTGTTGTAGTACATAGACTGATGGCCTTAATCTAAGTTGTCTTGTGGTTGTTGTTGGTTGTTTGACTTGCATCCTACTGGGATTTTTGCACACAGCGTTGGTGTACGGTGATTTTTCTGCAATATTTAGCTGTCTTTTCTTGTTTTTTCTGTTTGCACTCAGTCACATATTCACTTTAAGATGTTTTTTTGTTCATGTTTTTTTGTCGTTGCGGTTGCACCCGATTCAAGAGCTGAATGGCTCACAGGGCTATATACCTAATACATGAACTTGAACTTGAACCGCACTCGCTGTCTGTTAAGGCAATACATGGGATCTTTGTACCTTGATGAAATAATTAAATAACCCCCCCCCCCCCCCACACAGGGGGTGGTTCTCGTGTCGACATAACGGGAAGTCGCTGCCAGCTTTGTGTTGTGACCGGCTGCCGTGCGAGTGCCAACAGCTGTGTGCCAACAGCTGACACAGCACGGTCGCGTCCCAGCTGTGCGCGAGTGGCGATGCCACCTCGTTCGTTGTGATTCAAGCCAATCGGAGGGAATTCACACCCACCCCCCTTCTCTCTCTTTTTTTTTTACGATCAGTGGAAACAAGAAGATGCTCGGTGTAGTCGGCACTTTGCTTCGTTCATCATTTCGTAATTTTTTTTTCTCTCTCTGTGTTTCCAAACAAAGGCAAAGGCCCCCCTCCCCCCCCCCCCGTATAGCCTTAACAGACCGACGGGGCAAGTGCCGTTAAGCGAGGAGCGCATGTGAATGCCGGCACGGCGCCCGCAGCCTATAGCACCTGTTAATGGCACCTTTCCCCGAGCACTTAGCGGCCGCCCATGAATGACGTCACGCGATTTTGGACGATTTTTTACCCCCCCTCCCTCTTCGTCATACGACGTCACAAAAAGTCAGACCCCCCCCCTCAAATATGACGTCACAAAGCTCTGCCCCCCCCCCCACCCCAAAAAAAATATAAAACATGCTTCAAATCGCTTTAAACTATTGTCATTGTAGTGCGTATTTAATGTGGCGCTGCACTCTGATGCTGTAGGATAAAACATTTATTAAAACGTCTATTTAATTAAGTAGAACGTGTTGTCTATATTTATTTAAAGTTGCGCATTTTGATGTGACGTCACATTTCTCAACCCCCCCCCCCTCGTCACACATCGTCACAAATATCTGACCCCTCCCCCCCCCCCTAAGTGCGTGACGTCATTTATGGACGGTCCCTTATCCGTACTGAGCAGATCGAGCGCATTGCGGGCTCTAAATATTTGGCCACGCGGCAACGTTCACGGCAGATGTCAAACAGTCGTAGCGACAGCCAGAGACGGGCCATACACACGACTTCAAGTTTCAAGTTCAAGTTTCATTTATTTGGTATATCCCCGTGAGCCATGCGGCTCTTAAGTCGGGTGCAACCGCAACAAACTAAATATGAACGGAGAACATCTTAAAGCGACGACGCGCAACAGAAACATCCTGGGATAAACCAGCAAATCTTCAAACAAAAAAAAACGCCGTGTGCAAAAATCTCATCAATAACGCTATAAAAAATTAACCCGTAAAAACAAAGTTTTTCACTATAAATCCTTTATATGCGTGGCGGCTAGAGTCCTCTCGTCCTCTGGCTTGAGATGGCTTACACCTATGGGTCAGATGATTGCCTGCCACCACTAAGCAATTGGTAATGAAATATAATTTTTTTTTCCTAAAAAGTGTAAAGTTATGGAAAAATGTTTTCACGAAAATAAATTGTCACGCACAACGAGTCTGTGTGCAAAATGTCAGCTCGATTGGATCACGGGAAGTGGGTTAAAAAACGACCGAAAGATTTGCACGGTCGTAAGCGCGCAAGCAAGCAAGTGAACTTAATATAAAGGATTTAAAAACAATGGCGAGAACAAGGATATACAGCAACCAGTGTGCACAACGGGCTGGTGTGAGACCTCAAATTGCTCTTACCCCCCCACACACACACACTACACGGGCTGGGGCGGACAAACTTTGATTAACACAGGGCAACCAACCACTCCCGCTCCAACCCACCAATGATGGCATACAACACCCACCCCACACCCCCGTCTCTTACAGCAGGCTGTGGGCTAAGGGCGTTAGCTGCTGTCGAAAATGTGCGCAAGCCACCGAACAATCCGGATAGAGAATGACTGCACGACCTCGTGGAACAGCGTAAGAGGGCAAAGACAAAGATCCCACCTCACCCACCGCCCCGTATGGCCTTAACAAAAGGCTGTTGGGGCAAGTGCTGTTAGCGAGCAGCACCTATGGAGTTTGTCCACGGCATTACACACAGACTACCACTTCGAGGATGGGATAGGCTATGCAATGTTGGCGTTCAGCTGTTATGGATTGCGCTCTCCGCAGCTACGTGTGTAGTCATAGTCAAAGATACCTCTGTGTGTAGCCTGTAACAGGCTGTTGGGGCAAGTGCTGTTAGCGAGCACCTATGAAGGCCGGAACGGCACACGAGGGGGCGGGTGGCCAGCACCACGCCCGACCGCCTTTGTCTCCCTCGTGGCGATGTTTACACACCTCACCAGGCACTCATTTGAGGCTGAGTCAACCTAGGGGAGGCTCACAACCGGTTCCGATAATCATCACTGGTGGTGGCCGTGAGGAATCGAACTCGGGTTGCCAGGTTCGTAGCGCAGCGCGTTAACCGCTGCACCACCGCTCCCATAGACGCACACACACACACTGCAACACATACACACTGATACACACTGACACACACACTGACACATACACTGACACACACACACACTGACACACACACACGCTGACACACACACACTGACACACACACACTGACACACAAAAACACTGACACACACACACGCTGACACACACACTGACACACACACACACGCCTATCGGATTGTAAGACGCACCCTCAAACCTACCGGATTGTAAGACGCGACCTCTCCCCACAACTTTCATTTTCAGGAAACTGAACACACGGTCGGCAAGGCGCGTCTTACTACCGAGAGAACATGTTAGAAAATGCGCGTCTTATAATCGAGAGAATTTCGATTTAAAGCTTTCGTGACTGCAGGGATTCATCTTCTTGGTTCTTTCGGTAAAGTCACGTAGAAGGGAAGTAATAAAATAATATTGTTTTATTTTTATTATTTTATTACTTCCCTTCTACGTGGCTTTACCGAAAGAACCAAGAAGATGAATCGAGAAAATTGTAAGAAAATGCGCGTCTTATAATCGAGAAAATGTTAGAAAATGCACGTCTTATAATCGAGAGAACATGTTATAAAATGCGCGTCTTATAATGCGGAAAACTGTTGGAAAATACGCGTCTTATAATCGAGAGAACACGTTAGAAAATGCACGTCGTATAATCGACAAGAACAAAGTGTTGGTACCTGGGGCGCTGAGTTCCTCTGCCGGGTTCCTCTGCCGGGCTCCTGAGTCGGGGCGGGTGCGCTCCGGCTGCCTTGCGCGGTCGACCAGAGGAAGGGGGAAAGAGGGGCCTCGTCTCTCGCTCTCTGTCTCTCGTCTCGTCTCTCTCTCTCGCTCGCTCTCTGTCTCTCCCCTCCCTCCTGCGAGAAGGCGACCGTGCTGGATGTTGCTGGCCGCTTCGTCTCCCCTTTAAAGGTCCCCGGGGAGGGGCCTCGGCACGGCGAAGATTGCACAACAATCGTGGCCGGGAAGGAATAAATAAATAAAGAACGGCTGACTGCTTTAGCGTGCGTGCGTGTGCGTCTGTGTGTGTGTGTGTGTTTGCGCGTGTGTGCATGTGTGTGTGCGTGTGTGCGTGTGTGTGTGCGTGTGTGTGTTTGCGTGTGTGTGTGCGTGTGTGTGTATGCGTGTGTGTGCGTGTGTATGCGTGTGTGTGTGCGTGTGTGTGCGTGTGTGTGTGCGTGTGTGTGTGCGTGCGTGTGTGTGTGCGTGTGTTTGTGCGTGTATGCGTGCGTGTGTGTGCGTGTGTGTGTGCGTGTCACCCTCTAAGTATGTCAAGGCTATACGGGGGATCTTTGTCCTCGTTTTCCGCGTACAGCACTTGCCCCAACAGTCGGTCAAGGCGATACGGGGACTTTTGTCTTTGTTGCCTGCTATCAGCACTTGCCCCAACAGTCTGTTACAGGCTACACGGGGGAGATGTTTTGTGTTCGTGTAACAATGCTATATACTTAGACATATAGACATCGTGTGTTGCTGTTTGCAGAGCCATTTGTTATAATAGTTGTTGTTGTTGTTAATTCGGGCAGCTGTTGTCACGTGAGTAGCCGTGTCACATGAACATCTTGCTGGCAATAGCACCGAGAAGATGGATCAGCCACGCTCTCTGTATTTGTCACATACGAATTGGCGGTGTCGAATTTGATTATTTTATTGCCTCTCGTCCGTGTGTGTGTCTCTCTGTGTTGGCAGCTGGCCACCCACCCACCCCCTTGTGTGCCGTTCCGACCTTCATAGATGCTCGCGAACAGCACTTGCCCCAAAAGTATGTCAAAGCTATCCGGAGGGAATATTTGTCTTTATCTGTGTGTGTGTGGTGTATCTGTGTTTTCAGGCTCAACCCGCTTGGCTTGCGAGATCTGAATAGATCGGGCACATGCTGTGATATGCCCAGAGCCCATCGGCAAAAAGCATACGCGTACAGTATGTACAATAACGCATCAGCCTTCTCGTTACCACAGCACTGTCAAAATAAAACCTCCGTCATCAAAATTAGCTGAAGCCTCCCGTAAACCACGTGACTTCTGTTGTGGCCACCCCCACTAGGACCCCCCCCCCCCCCTCTCATCTATGGGGCCGTCCATAAATGACGTCACGCGATTTTGGACGATTCCCCCCCCCTCGTCACACGGCGTCACAAAAAGTCAGAACCCCCCTCAAATATGACGTCACAAAGCTCTGCGCCCCCCCCCCCCCCAAATCATATTTCCATTTGCTTCAAATCGCTTTAAACTATTGTCATTGTAGTGCGTATTTAATGTGGCGCTGCACTCTGATGTTGTAGGAGTGTTGTTATAACAATTAGTGTTGTTATAACATTTCTATATTTATTTAAAGTTGCGCATTTTGATGTGATGGCCCCTATAGAACTCTATCTGTCTATCGAAACCAGCTGAAGCCTCCCGTACATCACGTGGCTTGTGTAGCCACCCCCACGCTGAAACTCTCCCGTCTCCCCGCCCACTGTGAAAACAGACGCGGCTCCTTAGTGCAGCAGAAGCGTGGAGGTATCTTCCACCTCCCTCTCATCTCTCCACACCCGGCGTTCCCGTTTCTCCGTTCCTTTCCCATCCTCTTCCTCTTACTGCCTCAATTCTCGATTTAAAGCTTTCGTGACTGCATGGATTCATCTTCTTGGTTCTTTCGGTAAAGTCACGTAGAAGGGAAATAATAAAATAATAAAAATAAGACGCTGTCTTTCCGACAGACCTGTTCTTCACCTGAGGACGGCTGCTTGCGTTGTGGCCGAAACTTCGTGAGAATTATTTTATTATGTTTTATTATTATTATTTTATTATTTCCCTTCTACGTGACTTTACCGAAAGAACCAAGAAGATCCCTCAATTCTGTATCTTCTCTCTTCCCTCTGCCGTACCCTGGTCTTTTCCCGTGCATCGCATCCTTGCCTCTCTATGCACCCAACTCGTTCGCTGCGAGCTATGTAAAGCGGCACGGCTCGGGTTGAGCAGTGGTGGAAAAAAACAGAACAACCTGGAGCCTCGGTGTGACTCCGGCACGGCTCGGTTGTCGAGTGGAAAGAAAATGTGTCTGTGTTTCTTGTGTAGATAGTGGGGAGCGGTGGCACATTGGGTAGAGCGCTGCGCTACAAACCCGACGGTCCAGAGTTTGGTTCCTGCTCACCGCCAACACCAATGACGATTGTCTGAACTGCTAGCAGCGGTTCAATCCGCTCTCTTGATGCATTGTGGTCCATTGTATTGGCGCCTCTAGTGGTTCGAATAAGCCACGTGCAGCCATTAAATACATGACGATGTTCAACCCCCTGTTCAGCGAAGTTGTAACCGACAAGAAACCTCTATCGTGACAAATATAACAGCGCTGGTTAGACAAAAAAATAACAGAAATATGCTTCCCACAAACGCTGACACCTTTTTTCGGTAAAGTCACGTAGGTAAAAAATTTATGAAAAAATGCAATAAATTAAATCACGACGTTTCGGAGGCAACACAAGCTTCCGTCTTCAGGTGGGACCGTCACAGCAAAATTACTGTATCAAACGTCGTGATTTAATTTGGTTGTTTTTTTTTCATTTCTTTTTTACCTACGTGACTTTACCGAAAAAAACAAAGAGTATGAATCCTTGCAGCTTACACCTTTGTACTCACAGATGACGCCACCGAATCAGCACACACAATAAGCCAAATCAACTAAAATACGCGATAATAAATGAACTTCTTTCGCACCGTACGTAGCCAACCCCGTCGTTGCGCCGTGCCGGCCTTCATAGTTGCTATTCGCTAACAGCACTTGCCCCAACAGGATGTCATACCTGTCAACCCCTTATCAGTGGCTACCTCATTACAGACCAATTCAAACCTTATTGGTCACCCTAAATCTCAACGTTCATCCTACAAAGTCCCATCACAAGGGAGAAACACAAATAGACAAAAATTACGTTCCGAACAAAACACTGTTGTATTGATTTTGACAATTAATGTCAATGATGCTACTTATCACGCTATACTGTCTGACCTTGCATGCTGATGCTGCTGCTGCTTGCTTGATGTGGATGCACGCACGTGTTGTAAATGTACTATAATAAACACAGAAAATGATGAAGAGTTAAACAATACACTATCATCTTCTTGGTTCTTTCGGTAAAGTCCTTCTACGTGACTTTACCGAAAGAACCAAGAAGATGCGAATCCCTGCAGTCACGAAAGCTTTAAATCGAAATTTAAATACACTATCATTCATGGACATCCTAATCCTGTTTGTACATGAGCACATTGTGTATAGACTTGTGTGGTGTGGCTTGTTTGTAAAACCGGATGTGCATGTGTAGTTTGTGATCTGTACCGAGTGCGTCTATATTCCCGATCAAATTTGTCGGCTGCTATGGGGATAGCTACTCTCCAGAGTAAAGAAAAAACATCTGTCCCACGTCTTTTTTAATTTGCCCGTATAATAAATTTGCCCGTATTGAAATGGATGTATGCCATCTTCTTGGTTCTTTCATATCAAGAGGAATTTAGCATATTTATTTCCCATAAATATGCTAAATTCCTCTTGATATGCAAATTCTTTTGTCAAGGCGCCCTTCCCCCCCCCCTTCCAACCCGGCTTAAATATATGCTCCAAGCATGGTGCTGTTTCATTCAGACGCTGTCGCCTCGACAGACCTGGTTTTTCACCTGAGGACGGCTGCTTGCATTGTGGCCTAAACGTCGTGAGAATTATTTTATTATGTTTTATTTTTATTATTTTATTACTTCCCTTCTACGTGATGACTTTACCGAAAGAACCAAGAAGATGAATCCCTGCAGTTACGAAAGCTTTAAATCGAAATTGGATGTATGCCGTTTGGGCCTGAAAACTCAATTTCCCTGCACAAGAATATGGGTACACCATATGGGTTGACAGGTACGGTATGTTAAGGCTACGTGGGGGGATCTTGTCTTCATCGATATATCAAGGAGTCGGTGTGATCTCTTCACATTCCAGGAGTTGAGCCGGATTGCAGGAGAGGGGTGATGGCGACGCCTCGATCCAGCAGTGGATGGACCAAGGCCTCGCGTTAATGAGAACAAATAGTAGACCCGGCTCTCCGTTGTAATCAATCGAAGGCTAGCCCGTAACTCTTCGCGTATCAGAGCGACGCGAGTTCTGCTCCAAAACAAATTTCTGCGGTTGGACGACGAGTGGTCGTCGACGACTCCTGGAACTCTGTCGGCCATTATTTAACCAACCACGTGCCCGACCTACGAATGAAGTACATTGGACCAACTGCGGCAGCGCGTCTCTCTCAGTCCAAAAGATAAAAATAGGGATAAAACAAGTATAACCCGTAAAAACAAAGTTTTTCACTATAAATCCTTTATATGCGTGGCGGCTAGAGTCCTCTCGTCTTCTGGCTTGAGATGGCTGCCACCTATGGGTCAGATGATTGTCTGCCAGTATTAAGCAATTCGTAATTAAATATTTAATTTGTTTTCCATAAATAGTGTAAAATTTTGGAAAAAAAATTTCACGAACATTAATTGTCTCGCACAACGAGTCTGTGTGGAAAATGTCAGCTCGATTGGATCACCGGAAGTGGGTTAAAAAACGACCGAAAGATTTGCACGGTCGTAAGCAAGCAAGCGAACTTAATATAAAGTATTTAAAAACAAGCTTTTTAATGCACGCATACTTTTAATTGCACTCAGAAGTATAAAATGAATTGTTTTGACCCCGGAATTAATCGAATTTGATGTGCTCAATAAAAGTGTGTGGCTCGCGTCAAGAAATTTAAACATGTGGAAAGGAAGCCACTCACTTTTATTGAGCATATCAAATTCGATTAATTGCGGGGTCTAAAGAATGTATTTTATTCTAGATTTGAAGCTTTCGTGACTGCAATGATTCATACTCTTAGGTTTTTTCAGTAAAGTC